GGGAGAGAGGGGATATCATCAACAAAGTTCCAATTTTTGTAAGAAGTATTTACCAACATCAATTTGTCTAACAGGCTGGTGCAGAGCACCAGGTTCGGCCACCCTCTGCCGTTTAATTGGCCCATCTCCTGAAGAATTACCAGCATCTTTTTCATCCTCATCCTCATCGTCACCTAGCTTAACAGAAGGTGCAGCGATTTTGGACTTCTGTTTCAGGCTGAATGCAAGTTTCCCGCCTGAAGGAGCTGTAGTAGTTTTCCGTGATGCATTAGCTTTTAATTCAAAGCTTGGTTTATTAATGACGGCCTTCGGAGTTGAAGATCCCAATATACTGGAGGCTGTCTTAGACTCTTTTGAAGAGGCAGTCTTCACCTTTTCCGTTTCCTTCTCCTGTTGGAGCTGTTTGAACCTCTCCATGAAAGAACCATCATTGACAAATAAGCTAGAATCTGTTGCCTTCTCCATTGGCAAAAACCCAACTACTGTTTTCTGCCAGCTGTAACTGCTCAACAAGCAATCTTACAATATATTCAGACACTGAATGGTTTCTTTTTTCTGTAAGTATATATTTAGATACTAAACGGCTGCTTTATTATCATTTCTTTCTCGACTGTTCTGTAAGCGATCATAATATTTTGAATTCGAAGCAGCATTCTCAAATCCATAATGGCATCAGGAAAAAAAATTAATATAATAAAAGAAAAGCAGATTTTTCCTTCTCTTCCACTCCCCTAAGGAGCGTATCAGCAGCAAGACCTTGTAGGAGGGTTAAGGCGTGTTAGGTAGACTGGAAAAGGAAAGTCAAGACAGAAAAAGTAAAATCAAAATAAAAAAAAAAAGTAAAATTTCCTTTCACTCAACTTATAGAAGGTCATGGATCCCACACTTTCTTACACATTCAGTAAAGCCGCAGGACTCCGAAGAAAGATATAAGTATACAGCTACGAGCGTTCTTCTTAAAAATAAATTCATTTACCAATTCAAGCAAACACATGCTAGATTGTTTTGTTCTCCCTTTGTGTACTTATCCAGAAGAAAAATTCTTCAACCTTCCTGACATTCGTATGGATTCAGACAGGCAACCTATACAAAATCTACTTCCGATACTTAATAGAACGGATGATAAGAACACATCATCAATCTGATATAGCAATCAGCTGAATAACCTTCCCTAACAGAAACAATACTAAAACAAGCAAAAAGTAGTTTTCATCAACTCATATGTCCTGTGCTAAAAGCACTAGAATAAACCAGTGTGACACTAACAGACAACCTTTTTTCCTTTTGAAATGGTAAGTAATAACACTACCAGACAGACTTAGATTAGTCTTATTTTACTCCAGTAAAGTAATGGCCCTTTTCTTCAGATACTTCTCTCACTGTCAGCATGTTCTAAATAACATCCCTTTAGCCTGTTTGGAAAACTTGACAGTAAAAAAGAAAAGAGGAAATGTAAAGATACAGGTATCAGTCAGTGCCATTCTAGAGAACTACGCACTTTTTGGATCCAGAACATGCTTCATATCTTCAAATGAGGACATCTAGTGGTACACTATTTAATGCGTATCGCGTAGCAAATTCAAAATGTGAAATTGATTCAATAGATTATAAGGGAGCATGAAAAAGTGAATCTGACTCAATAAATGAAGGGAACGGCCAGCCTGCCCAAAAAGTTTTACATTTACAAGCTGTAATAGAGAGTTTTAGATTTCAAATGATCCGACTGATTTCTCTTATAACTTCATATTTTTAGATTATTTTCAATAATCAGATTTTGTCATCTACAATTGCGTTATACTCACAACCATAACTGCAGAAGCAGTTAGGCAATGATATACGCAACCAGTTAAATGATTTGTTTTATAACCGTGGTGTCCATGTCAGCTTGCGCACACCTCGACTAATTCCACGGGATACCTACCTACCTACCTCCCACTAGCAACCGGTACCAGGTAACTCCGTCCAGGCTTGGATAGATAGGAAAAAATCACCTAATATTTTTGTCTCTACTGGAATTTGAACCTCAAACCTCATGGTTCTCACCCCACTTCATTGACCACTACACCCCACACTTGGGTGTCGCAGCCAGTTAAATGTTATTTCCATCTCCTTCAAAGAGTTCACTCGGACCTGCCTGGACAACATCTTTTTTTTATGGGATAAGCGTGGTTTTCAGCTCGTCATAGTTTATTGAAGTATTATTAGTGCTTAGTGAGTGAATGACAGCTTTTGGATGAAAAGACCTCCTCAACAATTCTTCAACAACAATAACAAACCCAGTATAATCTCACAAGTGGGGTCTGGGGAGGGCAGTGTGTATGCAGACCTTACGCCTATCTTGAAGGCAGAGAGGTTGTTTCCAATAGACCCTGGCTCAAGGAAAGATGAAAAGATGAAAAGAAAGCAATAGCAACAAGCAGTAACTCCTCAACAATTCTTCAACTTCAATAAAAAAAAAAGGATCACTTTTTGCCTGAAGATATATTTTCAATTTTTTGCATCAAACACCATCTTCCGATAAATAACTTTACTTTTTACAACAAATTACCATAGGCATCGCCACCCGGAGTGACAGAAAAGCAGAAACATGAATAAATAAATTTATAGTCTTGATCGAAAAGCTCATCTGTTAATTGAAACCCTAAAGTCATCAACCATAATCCAACAAACTCAAAATTTTCGACACACGATAAAACAAAAACAAATTCCGAGAATCACACAAAAAAGAAAATCCACAATTTCAGGGGGAAAAGCAACTGATAAAAGTAACAAAAAAACGAAGAAACTAAAACGTTCAATACATTCGTCCTCAGTAAATCTACCTGAGGAATCAAGAATGAACAGTCGATCCCGAAATCAGCAACCGTACGTAATCGGATTGATTCAACAAAGCAAATGAAACTGAAACCCTAAAACCGAAGATCGAGAGCGAAAAATAATTGGTAATGAATAAGGGGCGCATGTATGTGCTTTGGGGGAGAAAGCAACGTGTACTAAAGGAGAGGACGAGCCTTTGGGCGTAATAGAGTTGAAAATTGGGGATTAATATGTAAAAAGGTTGTTTTCATCTTTTTTGCCTCCCACATTTTCTTTTACTAGTTTTAGGACACGCCTATTCTATATCAATGAATATAAAATATTTAAAATCACGTAAATATTATTAAATTATATTTTTGAGTTATAAAGTAATATTTTATGAAAAACGCAAGCTCTTATATTGATCTTATTTAGATATACTAGTCTCTATATCACGTGCATCGCACGTGTATACCCTGCTACTATTATTAGATTTATATGTAAAGAAGATAACAAACTTTTAACATAACACATAATTTAAAAACATTTATTTAACTTATAAGTAAAAATTAAAGCATATAGATAGTGAAGGTTCTAGTTTTTGATAATTTTATTTGTTTTGATCAGATACATTTTAAAGTTACTATATTAAAATTGCTAGGAAGATATCAACTTGATAATAAAATTATCTAGAAATATTGTCTCTCATAAATATCGTGATAGTTAACTTGCATTCTTCAAAAAAGAAAATGTTCCAAAACGCAGTTTAATAGATGACAAACATTGACGGTAATAAGCCTACGCTAAATGTGAAAGAGTCCAATTTTAGTTCTAATAAATTGGGAGTGTTTAGGACGTTCCCTAATTTGTCCTCCTTGTATATCTCAAATATTTGCTAGTGTAGAAAAGAAGCACACTTTTAGAAAATGAACGGAAAAAATTTCTTTTTACTTTTAGCCTTCGAGAGCGAGGAATGGCGGTAAGGCCACCATGCATAATTTAGACGAAATATCCAATTAAGAATAAATATGGCTGAAATCAGTGCTTTAGATGGAGAACATGAATATATATTAAAAATTATTTAAATTACAATAAATAGTAAATTTGATCCCATTATTTTAGAAATATTGTGAGTCTATTGAGTTAAAATTATAAATATGCCTTTTGTTCAAAGCCGCGCAACATTATGTATGTAATTTGTATACTTTATTGCTATGTGTGTTTCTCAAGTATTTGCACATATAAAGTTATAAATACTTGATGTGTTATGGAAATTAATATTCAGACTCATCAACAATGTCATTGTCAAAAAGCTTTAAAAAAAATTCAGCGGAGAGCAATTACATGAATTTTCGTATATTTATATGTTATTATGTTACGTGATCCGAGTCCTAGACTGGTAAAAAAAACTTTACAATTGTAGTAGATATTTTAAGTTTTTATATACTTTAACTTGGAAGTAGTTTTATTCTAAAAAAGACTTCCTAAATGTGGCAAGTCACATCTCCAAGCATGAATCAATGTTCTAAAATGTTTTGGAGCACTATTGTTCTCTATGCGCAAATTCTATGTTTGGAGGATTTTAGTTTATTTAAAATAGTTTAAGTGTAGTTTCACTTCCAATATAAAATTAGCGGTGACAAACTCCATAATTAATTCATAATTGGAGGATCCTAGTTTTCTAGAACTCGGAGTTTAAGTGTAGCTAAACACCCAATTAACTTTAAAGTGGTTTATAATTTTATCTGATATTAATATTATTTATTTGAATCATAACTTGTTATTGAAATGTATAAAGTCGGTGAGTGCATCCGTGCACATAAAAAAGAAAAAATATAGTCTTATTATAATTTGAATGTGTATTTAATCTTATCCTAGACCTTTATTTAAACTACACAAATATTATTTTTTTTCTACTTCTCTCACCATTATATATACGTCTTAAGTTCTTTTTGCAATTACACATTTATTTATGATCCGAGTGCCATCAATGTTTGATGTGAACACTTACCTCAATGGAAGAGACAAGACATGGCAACAAAGAAGCTTAATCCTACTCCATCTTCTTTTTTTTGTCCTAATTTTATGTTTTGACCTCAAAATATTAATTATAATTTTTTCCTATAGAATTTTCTTAAAAACTTTTAAAGAATATATAAGTCGATTCCCATTCTTAATAGTCATTCTTCTCCCACTTAAGGTAGATTTGTTACTGATCTCTTTGTAAAAAAATCATATCCCAAATCAACTTAAAATACCTTCGAACAATTCTACTGATAAATTAGCGAATTTTTAGTAAAGTTAATTATTTGCAATTTTATTCCATGTGTTACAAATGCATATTCCAACTCATATTTATATTGCTTTCACAATTCGCCGAAATAATAAAAATCATAAAATTTAATGTAATTACAATTTTTTATCCAATGTAAAATACTCTTACGAATAATATTAAAAAGTGATAAAAAATATATTCACACTTAGTTGCTTCATGGACCCTTGAGAATTACCTTTGATTAGAAAATTTATACTCTTTTAAAACAAATTCTAGAAAGGATCACATTTTGACATTCGAGGGCAAGTAGGTTCTACCCTAGAAAGAGGCCATATCAATGGAAACGGAAAAGTAGATATTGGCAACTTCTACGGTGCATTCTCCAAATTTATTAAGAACAAACTATTTGGGGCAATTTACTCCCAAGAAAAGATAAATAAAAAACATGATTGATGAAATAAATTCAACATGCTGCCTAATATACTTTTTGTTCAAAACTCAATAGACATAGAAATGCATTGTCTGGGGAAATTCATGCACGCTCCATCTAGGATTTCAATGCCCGAATCTGTGTCAAGGCATGCAGAACTTTTTATTATAATCTCGAGTCAATCTAGAGACAATACGAAAACCAGAAAGAATTATGTGTCTGATGCTTTACATTATATATGCAATTAAGCTATTAAATTGAATCCATATGGTATTCCAAAAGAGTAATATAAATGTGAAAACGTTAGATCATTGAACACTTCTTTTTTTTTAAAAAAAAAAATACACTACAAAGCAAATCCAAATCACATTAGAAAAAGAAAAAAAACAACAATTAAAGAATAAAAGGACAGAGTAAAGGGACACTATAAGCTATAAATGTGGTAAGGTAACCAAAAAAATATGAAAGCAACTACATACTACTTCACGATATAGGACTTACCGGGGAGATCAGGTCAATGCTTTGCACATTATGATCAAAATAACGTGTAAACATTGTCGCCCTTTATATAGTGGAAAGAGATGAATCCGTGTTCTTATTCACGTGGAATTGTTATAAGTAGGACACTAATTGAATGGTATTAGAATTTCACGCAAGTAGGAAAATATTTCGAGTATTACAATTCTGTCCAACATACATATAAAGGTCAATTAAAAGTTTAGGGCTATTTTTGTAAACCGATATTGTATTCATATTTTTATAATAATATATAGATAGATAATAAAGGAAAAAAGTATGTCACACAAAAGTATTCTAATGTCATATTATAAATTTGATATATTTGTATATTTGCTTTAGTAACTCAGATAGAGTAAAATAATATGTTGATTTATACTTAAATATCATGGAACAATATATTCATCTTGACCTTAAAAACTTAAAGTCTATCTGCTCGGGTACCTAATATAGTAATATAAATATCATCTTACTACTATTGGAACTCAAATTAAAAAATACGAAAAAACAAAACGAGACTCCATACTGTTAGGTTTAGTTATCGTATTAGGAATTTAAGGGTAGTATTTAACAGAATTAATTAATTTACATTTATAAAAAAATGATTGTCATAAAAATGCAGGTAGAATATTAATATTTATTATTATTATTATTATTATTATTATTATTATTTCATTCAATATGAAGTGTATCATAATGAAATATTATTCGAAAAAGTATAAAAATCTGTTAACATTTCATATACATTTTGTGTGTATTTATATAGAAAATTACAATAATGTTTAAGACTTATTTCCGTACGTATTTTAAGATTTTATTGTGTTCAAAATTTTTACTGTTTACTAATTAAAAGTTATTTGCTGATAATATTTTAGTGATATGATACTTGAGTATTGATTGAATGTTAGTTCACTTAGTTCGCGAATGATGTTGTTAAGATATGTTGTCTTTTATCATTTAGAAATATTTTAATTATAATACTGAAATTATAATAGAATTAATATTTAGCTAAATTATTAGCATAGAAGGTAAATTTTTAAGATTTTAAATCCTAAGTATTAGAACTTTCTTCCAAAAAGCAAAAGGCTTTATATTTAGTATTTCATGCTACAAAATTCGGCGAAATTTGGTTGCGTTTTCTATATTATTTTTGTTATTTTAAATAATTTAAATAAGGAAGAACTTAATTAGTAATGAGAACTTACATAGTTGTCAACATGTATTTCGTGATTAAAGAAATTGATAAAGGGGTATTAATTAAGTAAAAGGAGTTTATATAAGGTAAAATTTTAATTAATTTGCTTTTAAAGTCCTATAGTCAAATAAGGAACAATTTAGTAAGCAAATTTTTAGTTGATTTTAAGTTCTAAATATTAGGAAAACAAACCTTAATTTAAATGACTATTTTATCTAATGTGAAATCTACTTTTAAAGGGTAAAAAAGACTAACGACATTTCGCTAAATGCCTTCGTGCTTTTAATATAGTATAGACACATATACATTTATACATGCATATCCTAGAAAAAAGGAAATGATTAAGGCGGAAGCAGGGAACAAAATGAAATAGGGATGTCTAAGGGAGGCATTACTCGAATCGCTATCGGTCCGTATCGGTCAAAATACCGCACTATATCGATCCGATTGGGGTAGGGGTAAGAGATTTGGGAGGGTACCAGATAAAGTATCGGTAGAACCGGCTCGGTTGGTACTGAACCGGTACCCTTAATATATTTTTGTACCATTAGCCAACGGCTATTTTATATAATAAAAAAAAATAGCGGCTATTTTTGTCTCCCTAGCCCCCTAACTATCACAACCCGGGATTTTTCACCATCGGGATCGTGATGGCGCCTAACATTACACTTGCTAGGCAAGCCAATGTTAGAGTATTATTAACCAATTTCCTTTATGATTCAGTAAATGAAGTAAACAAGTTAAAATAAGTAGCCATAACTGCGGAAGTAAGTAAACAACCTCTTTGTGTACATATACTATTACCAATACTGTTGCTATT